AGGGCACAATTTCAAAGCTACTTTCTCTGGGATTTTCCTCAGACAAAGTGTGTAGGACACAGAAGCCTGCGATGAGCTTGGGTGAGCCTGTCCCGGGCAGCGGGGGGCCAGGGCCACCTCCCAGAGCCTGAGGGTGCTTCTCTCTTTCCTGTCCCGTCCCCTTTCTCTGTGACCCGTGTGTACCAGAGAGGCAGGCACTTCTGTGGATCTCTGGGCAGTTGAAGGGAAAGCCTGAGTGAGGAGGGGGAGGAGGGGAAATGGATTTTAAGTAGGGGGAGCAGCTGGGCCTGGACTGGGGCCCCTCGAAGTCTGGGAGCCCCCCAAACTCAGCTTGTGACAACTGTTCCTGAACTGGAGGACAGGATCTCTTAGCAGGTAAGCCCAGCGTCCCCCCAGAAACTAACTTTCAAAGTGTATATTATGGCAAATGCCCTCCCCTCTCAACAGCCATTCTGCGTAGGGTCTAAGGGGACCCTGGCCTTTAACGCACTTCCTCACTGTAAAAATGGAGATGTTTTTCCTCCCAATGGCAGCCCTGGTCCCTTAAGAGGCACTTGTTTGTGGAGAAGGGAAATTTAATCTGAGAAATAAGAATAAAGCCCTTTTCGGCTCCTCACAAGCCTGTGGGTGTCATGGCATTTGTGGCCACAAGGGGTGACCTGAAAATGAGGTGGCTTACCTCAACCTGTGTGACCACCATCAGAGCCCCACGCTGGCTGCAGGCTCATGAGGGTTTCCAGTGGTCTCAGGGTGGCGGCTGAGGCCTCAGAGAAGAATGGGGCTTTGTCCCACCATCCCTGAAGGGGACTTTTGGGTTCAGACTCTCCAAGGGGCGGAGAGTTCAAAGGTCAACAGTCTAGACAGTGGCAGCAAAAAAGAGCCCAATGTGGTGGGCAGCTTTCCAGGAGCAACTCCCCTCCCCTGCCCAGTCACCCCCTGCGGGGCACGGGCTTGCGGTGTATACAAACACACACACACACACACACACACACACACACCAGCTGGCCTGGCTTCCTGGCAGAAACTTTGAAGATAACAAAAAGGCATCTTGAGTATACTTTTCCAGTCGTCCCCTTGAGCAGGCCCTTTCTGTTCTAGAAGTTTTCATGCCAGTAAAGAGCAGGGTAGCTGAAAACTATTTTCCTGGTGGAAGCTATGGCAATTTGATCTTTCCCCAAAGACCTGGCACTGACTGGGAAGCCATGATTTCTGCCTCCCTGCCCCCACGCCACCGCCCCACGGCCCTGTCTCTCTCAATGGCCAGGGGACCTCAGTTGTTCCTTGATTTGGACCAGGTGAGCCAGGTGGCACCACGCCCAGTC